GTAGTTTTAAATTTTCGGATAGCTCGAATTTCGAGTAATTCGAATTTCGGGTAGCTCGATTCGAGTTTTCGGATAACTCGCAGCTCGGTGCATACATAATCAGGAAAAAAACACTTTAATTTCGAGTAGCTCGATTCGAGTTTTCGGGTAACTCGAAGCTCGGTGCATACCTAGTAATGATTTTGATTAGCACAGTAATTGTTTATGGTTATGTAGTAAACAAAAAATATCTAACAACAAGAAAGCTTTTAGAAATTGTCTTAACATAGAGGTTCTAGGCATGCACCAATACCAATCAATATTGAAGATATTGTATAATATTATTGGCTATCCAATTACATTGGGCTATACACTGGATTCCAATTTTTTAACCTTAATATCATTTCCTTCATAAAACGTGAGGAAACATGTCCCCATTGGGATATAAAAACGTATCTCGATCGGGATTACGCATGCACCGATAAATAGTCGATATTGGGACATTCAGCAAAGTCGTTCCGATTCAGTTGTTAAAAAGTACTTAGACCTGCCGAATGTCTCATTTTGTAGAAAAATGTTTGCTCTACCAACCTGAAGTACAAAGGGACATTTTAGTGTTATCTGTGACAGAAATATAAGCATCCAAAACTGACCAATGTGAAAAAATGAGCGACTATCGATTATTATTCTACGATTTTAGTGCGTTTTCGATTTATTGTATTTTCTCTATATATAACATAATTTTTCTGGCAGTTCAATTGGGTAGAGCAAACATTTTCCTACAAATTGAGACATTCGGCAGGTCTAAGTGCTCTTTTATAACTGATTCAGAACGACTTTGCTGAATGTCCCAATATCGATTATTAATCGGTGCATACCTAACTGGGTTATATTTTGTTTCAGAGCGGGATATAAAACTTGCATCTGTACTCTAAAAGTAGGTCGAATTCAAGCGATCTAATATCTAATAAAATTGTGAAAAGCGCACTATATTGGGGTGACCAGTATTATTTGGACCCAATATATTGTATTGGTACATGTCTAAGAGAGCCTCAGAGGCTCTCTAAATTTTCCCGCAAAAATAAAAGTCAATATTTCAAAGTTCTAGTTCAACAATTTTGCTCGAAGTAATCGCGTAGTTTAGTTTGAAACTATTTCGGGACCAAAAAATGTGTGCCTTGTCACAATTTCTCTTTTCCCAAATTTTTCTCAAAGTTCAATCATCTTTTCAGTTTTGAAATTTTTGCAAGAATATCAGTATTCTTTCAGGCGAGAGTTCTTGGAACGTTTTTTGCATATGAACTCTCTACTGCTCCTTCTTTCCTAGATTTAACGGTAACATACAATAACTTATATACGAATTTATTTGATTTTTATCCACTTTATATTGGAGCTATAATGTTATTAATGTTAATTTGGTCTGCTTTGTACATTTTCTTGGCTGTTTATGTTGAACGCGTGCATCCGGGTGCATTTGGTGTTGCACGGCCATGGAACTATCTGTTTCAGGTATGCTCTGCAAAACTTTATTCTTCTCTTCTAAAACACCTGTGAAACTTTGTTTTAGCGGAAAAATAACAAAAAAATAAAACCCGTTCCACAAAATGGTTTAAAAAGTGTTCCATTAAAAATGTTTAACGAAAAATGGATTGAATCCAAACCAAGTTCAGGTGTTTCTGGTGTTTCAATACAAAATTTAACAAAAGTTTGTTGCACACCAAAATCTGCGTTGCTTTATTAAATAGATTCTTTTTCTCAGACATTTGGCGATTTTAAAGCTGTTTCGAATTTATCATTGGATTTCTACGAAAACGAAGTTTGCTGCTTACTTGGACATAATGGAGCTGGTAGGTACTGAACTGAGAGCAGTAACCAAGTGGCATACCCAAAACTTTAACCTTATATCTTCTATAGGAAAAACAACGACCACGTTTATGCTCGTTGGTAAGATATTCATCTGCAGATTCATTTTGTGAATACACTGCAAACGAGATGTGCATATTTTTATTAAAAAATTTATTGTAACTGAATGACTTTTGTCCATTCACTTGCCATTTACTATGTGTTATTTGAGATGAATGGGTTATGCACTAAAACACACCATTTAGGCAGCTGCCATATCGGAATTTTTTCAGCACACATTTATATCCAAACTGCATAATCTAGTATACTTTCGCTAGAATTTTAAGAACGTCGCAGTGCGTAATGAGTGAATGAACAGTGCGTTCAACACTGCGCTTCACACGCCATGCAACATTTTACGTACGATCGTTTCTAGTAGGGATATTCGGTTCTCGGTTCTTGTTGAAAACCGGAACCGCGGTTTCTTAAACGGTTCCTGCTTTTCAGAACTGAGACTTGTTGAATTTTCAACAAGAAAGCCTTTCTTTTAACAAGATGAAAACACACTGTTGATAAAGCTGCAAAAAGATATATTTGCCTGTCATCACTTAAACGAATCCTTTCGTTTACGATAAAATGAATTCTATTTTCTTAACATGTTCATGCATGAAAATTATTTTACGGTTCTAAGCTGAGAACCGCGGTTCTTTTCGATTCGGTTTTAACTCGAGAACCTAGTACATTCCTAGCTTCCAGTGCATAACAAGTGCATGACCACTGAAATGGCTCTACAGAATATTACAGTTAAGACTACTGCTTCCATTAGCCTTCCAATTTTATTTACGTGTTAAAATCTCGTGAAAACATTGTTCACATGTGATTTTGGTTAGAAATCAACTTTGTTTCAAGAGTCGTTTTCTTTCGACTAATCTGACATGCGGACGACGTTTTCGCAAAGATTTCAGCATGCGAATAAAATTGGCAAGCCAGCGAAAGTAGCACGCTTAACTGCGATATTTTGTGGCATAAACAGCATTTGACCATTCTTTAACATTGTAATTCTATGTTAAAGAATAATTCAGTGCTTTTGAGACTGAGGTGTGGAGATGAATAACAACAATAATAAGAATCTGTTATTAAATCAGGAAGTAAATAAACATTGAATTAGATTCGCATTTACGAAACAGGAAAAAATAAACATGCAAAGAGAGTCAATTCTTAATGCAATCTCGAGCAGAGGTAAGATAGAGAGTACTCTTAATCACAACTATTAGAAAATCACACTAACACTACGATTACACTACTCCAGTAATCAAGATTTAAGTAAGTAAGAAAAGACCTTTTTAATCTGTTTCTAACAGGAATGCTGGAGCCAACCAGTGGGTGTATTTTCGTAAATGATTTGGATAATAAAACGAATTTGGAAGCAGTGAGAAAAAATATTGGCTTTTGTCCACAATCCGGTAGGTCGAAGTTCCGGATAGCCTGGCTGCCATCTGCAGATTTTTGTCTATTTAGATATATTGTATGATGAATTAACCGTGAGGGAACATTTGAAACTAGTGGCAAAGGTATTTACCAGAGTTTCTTCTTTTGCGTCGCTAAGGTGAGCATAATGAAGGTTTCTACTCATGAAGCACAATGCTTGAAAAGTTGCATCGAAGCCGAGATGTATCGGAGTGATGGCAAACAAAAATTTCTTTGGAGACAAATGAATGCCGAACACCGTCTTCACTTTTCGTTGTTCGTTTTTTTAAACAGAGAGATATGAGCCCAGTTCCTGCGAGTTTTAAACAAGCTACTTTCATTGCCTTGCAAACAGATTCTCTACACTGATAAGCGTGCACTGATACAAAAAAATTTACAACGATTTTGTTCTTCATAGATTCGTCAGATGCCAAGGACTGAAATAGAGCGATCAACTGACCGAATACTTGCATTAATCAATTTAAGAAAAGATGCACAAACTTTGGCAAAGAATTTATCTGGTGGAATGAAACGACGATTGAGTATTGGTATGTCACTCGTTGGCGATCCAAAGGTAAGCGTGCATCACTTGTTTTACTTGCTATGAGAGATGGGAGACCTTGTCTTCTGTTTTCTAGATTTTAATTTTTGATGAACCAACAAGTGGAATCGGTACGACGAGTTTTTTTCATACTTTTTAAGAAAAATTAGCAAGCGATTTTTTTTGTTTTTAAGATCCAAAACATCGTCGTGAAATTTGGGACGTCATACGAATTTTAAAGCATGATAAAGAAAATCGACGTACAATCGTCTTTACAACACATTATCTGGATGAAGCTGATGTTTTAGCTGATCGAATTGCGATTATGACTGCGGGGGAATTGCAGGCACATGGAACACCCGATTTTTTAAAACAACAAACTGGTAAGACTTAAAATGCGACACCCATTCTTTGACTTTGCTTTTAAAAAAACCAAATCAGAATAAGTTTCTGAATAAATGGTGCTGATCTAGAAGAAAAACAGCTTAGACCTGCCTGATCTTCAGCTTATTTTGTAACTTGGAGTTGGGTCGACTAAATAAAACCCGAAAATATCAGTCTTTAACTCCTTGAGTCTTTCGGTTTGCTGAAAGGAACGAGCTGTGGCTTACTCTCGTCCTTCTTTCCGCATCCTATACTAAGCATGCACACGTATCGGAATGCCGAAATACCAAAGTTCGGTATATACCGATACCGAAACTATCGAAGATATCAAAAGCTTTTCATACAAAATGCTGTTTATTTGCAGGACTTTAATATAAGAAAGCTTCGATTTCTTTTTCTCCTTCTTGATGATTTACTAGTGTCCTTTAAGAAACCTAGTTACTATACATAAAAAGTTGAATTATTATATCTCCAGATTATCTTAAATTAAAACCAGATAGAGGATTGTTCTGATCTGCTGAAATAAAAAGAGTTCTTTTTTTATTGTGTGATTAGCAATTGAGTCACTTTCTTTTTCTTGCTTCTTCGAACGCATGCTTAAGATCGAAACTCAGGCATTTTCGATCTAGTGGAACATAAAAGAACGAAGCAATACATCCTTTCTTTAATTACTATAAACTACTAATGATCTTATTTGTGATAGTCGGTGTTCGGTATCTATTCTATACTCTACTGTATGAATGCCGTTAACTTCTGTGACTAAACAAAGGTTAACGGGATTTTAGAAAATTTTCTATTCCAAAGTTATCTAGGTACGGTTACAATCCTTTCCTGATAAAATACGTTGTAAAACTCGGTTTGTCCTTTGCACTGGAGTGAGCATATTTTCAGGTTTTACGTAGTGCAGCAGGTTCTGTCAGATAAGTTAAAACCAGGAAATCTTAGATGTTTTATTCCCAGACTTGCTGCAGTTTCGGGAAAACTCGCTCTTAAACTACAGAAAATTTCTATAAAGTCCTCGAAAATATTTCATTTCCGACGGTTAGAAAGTTTCGTTTTAAGGCATTTTGAGAAATGTAGAAAAGCCATCAAAAAACAAAATAAATTTCGGCGCTCAGCACTCATTCTTTAAAATCATTATGAGTGGTATAATTTCAAGATAGGTAAAATGTTTTTTTCATTGAGTTTAGCTGGTACACGTTACAAAACACTCAGGCTTTTTAAGCATATTTCATATTTGTGACGTTTTTTATTTTTAAAATAGCCACGTTTATTGTGATGAGAAAGCATTTTCTAAACGTGAGAATTTATAATTCTTTTTGAATACACAACACTTGAATTCAATACTCATTTCTTGGTACATATCTAATTTTTCCAGATCTGGAATATCGTCTGTTTATGGACAAAGACGCCGGATGTCAAGAAGAAATTGTTCGAACGCATATTCAACAGTATATTCCAAATGTGATATTTGATCGAGAATCTGTATCGGAACTTCGCTATGGTATCCTGAGAGGCCAGGAGGAAAACGTTCAACAATTAATTAGTTCACTAGACAAGGCAGCTCATCTGCAGATTAAAAATTATGGTATTGCTACAATAACAACTGAAGACGTTTTCTTACAGTATGTATAGAACTTACAGCATTTTCTGTCTTTGTTAATTTTTTTCGATTTTCAGACTTGTTGAAGAAGCGCATTACGATAAACCAGATACAATTGCTAATGGTCTACAGTCACATCCGCAGAAGAAAGATTTAATTACCAAAGGTATCCTTAAAATTGAAGTTTTAGTGTGTCGTGTTTTATTGAGCACTCTTTTCCATTTTAGTTTTCGGTCAACATGAAAAGGTTAAAGGCTTCAGTTTGCGTTTGATACAGTATTATGCTCTATTAATAAAACGTCTGATAATCAGTCGTCGTCAATATATCACGACACTTGGATTTTTATTACTTCCTTTATTAATTGAAATTTTAACTGTTGCTGTTTTGCCTACTCCAACTCAGATTCAAGCGAGTTTACTTCAAAATGATCATGTTAAAGGAGCGAGTGTTAAACTCATTCCGTCAATTTACAACCAACCACAACAGCAGACCGTGGTTGTCTATGGGAATAATAATGGAAGCAATAATTTAAACAATCTTTTAACATATTTGTCGAATAATCAGAATGTAAATGTGGATCAAATCTCATCGGATACGGTCATGTCATACGTTCAACAGCAATACACACAAACATATGCAGTTTTCATTTATAAATATCAAATAGCTCAATCTTTATATAATAATCTTTCCACTCCGTCATTGACATTCGATGCATTTTTCAGTTCAGTAAATTATCATACGGCAGCTGTTACTTTGGGTGTTTCAATGACACAACTTTTTCAATTTTATGCCGGTTCAACAGCAAAACAAATAATAACAACAAACATGCCGTTGATAACCACATCCACGACGTCGTCTTCATCAGCTGATTTATTAAATAAATTGTTATGTTTCGATGCACTACCAATGGTTTTATTTGGATTTTTAAACTCGATATTAGTTATGCTGTTTACAAGTATGTTTATCCTACAAATTGTTAAAGAACGTCGAACTCATTCGAAAAATTTACAACTGATGTGTCACCTATCTAAACTAACTTATTGGCTATCCAATGCCACATATGATTTTTGTTGGTCCATTCTGATCTCTGCTGTACTCACCATTATCGTCAAAGTAGATCGTACCCTTCTTATTTACCGTTTTTTAGTTAAAAATCTCTTCTAGATTGGAGCAGCAACGGTTTCGAACACGGACGCTGAAGTTCATTTGTTTGGCGACAAGATGCCCCAAATCATGTTGTTTTTCTTTGTGGTACTACTGTTTTGTTGTGTCTCCATTCCGTTTATTTATGTTTCTTCATATCTAATTAATAATGAATTGATTGGATTTATTGTCTATGTTATAGTTAATATTCTTGCATGTAAGTACTTCCACATTTTTAGAAGAAGCAAGTCTTTTATTCAACGTATATTTGGTTATAGGTTTCTTCGATACCGTTCTAATTTTTGTACAAGTGTCCAGTGCCGGTCAGGCTAAAACTTCTTCCATAATGAACGATGTTCGGTGGATTTTAGCGGTCATTTTCCCATCGGTTAATTTGAAACGATCTCTGTTCAACATCCGATTGCATGATAACGCGAACTGTATTGCTTCAATCAACGTCTTACTTTCTAGTAAGAGCTCGTTTCCTTAATATAGAACTATGTTCTGTAATTATGTGATTATTCCAGCGAATATGCAAACAAATGAATATTGGTTCAGAACAGCAGATCCGGGCCTGGGTAACCAAGTTATTCTTTCCTTTGTGCAAATGCTCGTCTGGTGGTTGCTGCTCGTATTGATTGAAAACTGGAGACCAATTAGAACTGGTTGCAGGAAAATCAAGAACCCAAGCTCAGTGAATGAATATGATTATAGTGTAAGAAAAAACTAAGGTTTTCGATCGACTGTAGAAAAGCAGCATATGAGAAAGAGGGCATTCTAGAACTTGCCTAAGAGCCATTGCACGAGAACCACAACAAGTCATGCTCAATGAATCTCTCAGATTCTTTTCAAAGTAGTCTCATCGTATTCAGCATATGCGGGAACCTATCAATCCAAATTTTCATCTTCTCCGGACTTTTAGTCGCAGAGTTATAGACGGTTTTCTGAAGACCTCTCGACGAAAAATTCAGCATCCAAGAAATGG